AAGGTCACAGCAGGGACGGCGCCTGGCGCCGAGGCCACGTCCGCCGGCCGTGCCGCTCCGGCCTGCGGGTCCTTGCCCCGGCACGACCCGAGCCGTGGCCAAGCGGCAGCCGCGCGACCGAGACTGCAGGCCCTGCCGGGCTTCCTGAGAAAGCTGCTTGCACGCGCAAAACGCCGGTGTCTGCATCAGCAAACGGCAGCAGAGGCATTTCATAATATCCTCTTAGGTCGTTGTGAGGAAGAAAACGCATCATCCGGGATGAGCTCTCACTGAAGAGGGTCGGAGGGTAGCGAGGAGGTCTCAGTACTAGGAATAGCGTTTGACTTTAAAAGTAGGTAGTGAATGAAAAAGTATTTAAAATTACCTGCACTAAGTAGGCGTTGGGTTCATGTTTAACTTTTTTTTTCTAACTTCATTGAGTTAAATGTTCAGTTTTCTGAATTCATCACTTTGACATATGTCCTTTCCACGTTCAAAAAAAAAAAAAAAAACGAAGCCCATACTAACGCGGATATTTGCTTTCTCGTTTTCTTTACACCGGGTTTAAATGTTATTTTTTTGTTTGTTTTAAATTAATAATGAGCCTCTAGAAAATATAGTTGGCACTTGAAAATGAAAAAGTGAAGAGACTACCTGTTAAACTCTTACTATGGGCCAAGGAGCTTTATATAATACGACTTATTTCATTAAATCCTAGTATCAATCTTAAGAAGTAAGCAATGGGATCTACATTTCAAAGATAAGATGGAACTTCAAAGAATGTGAGACACATAGCTAGAAAAGGCATTTGAACCCAGGTTTGTCAGGCTTCAGGCCCAGTGCTCAACTAGTATTTCCAAATTTGATGTTTATTGTTTCCAAGTTGATCAATCAACCTCCTTTTATTTTTATTATTATTGAGCATCTACCGTGCACCTTATTTTTTTCACGTAAGTGATATGAGCCCATGAAATTCATATTTTCTTTCAGCTGAGACTGAAGGTATTCACCTCACATGTTTACCTAAAGTGTCCAAGGTCACAAAGCTAGGAAACTGGAGAATTGGACCAGTACCCTGACCTCCTGCTGTGGTTAGATGCTCTTGACCCTGGAGTCCTTATCTCTGTCTTGTTGGCTCTTTGATTACTCTCTCAGGTCCCCTGTACCTTTTGACTACTCTTTCCTGGGCTCTAGTCTGCCTTAACAGTAGGTGTTCTTTAGAACTCAGTCTAGACCCAGTTAATTA